CGGCCTCAGACACTTGACACTTACTAGCTGTATAACCCTGGGCAAGTCACTTAACCCCGATTGCCTCACCAAAAAAAAAAAAAAATAAAGTTTGAAACCTCGGTTCTTCCCAAAGAATTGGAAGGGACACAGAAGTGTATCCAGTGGCGGGAATAATAATAGCTAGCATTTATGTGGCACTTTAAGTTTTGCAAAGCACTTTACACATTATCTCATTTGATCTTCACAACAACCCTGGGAGATAGGCTCTATTATTATCTCCATTTTTTACAGCTGAGGAAACTGAGGCACAGAGAGGTGAAGTGACTTCCCCAAGGTGACACAATTTGCATCTGAGGCAGGATTTGAACTCAGGTCTTCTGGGTCTCCACGTCCAGCACTTTCTGCACTGCCTAGGAGGAGGTCTTCAACCCAGTGGAGCACATCCTAACCTTCAGGAACTGAGGAAAAGAAAGGAAATGGTAAGAGGCACAAGCCTCAGAGGAGAGGGGCCCCCAAGCCATGGTAGTCAGATCACTGAATGCCTCCACCTGGGGCAAGAATTCCTCTGTTGGGGAAGGGGAGCAAGCAAACAGACCGCAGACTCTAGGAATGAGGCAAACGACAGCCTGCTGTCTCTGTCCCTGTTCCCAGTTCCCTTTCCCCATATCCCATATGGGGGGACTCTGCAGTGAGCCGACAGTGTAACGTAACAGTCAAGAAAGTCGCCGCTGCTTTAGGGGAGCACAAAGAGAGGGGCTGTATGATAGTCTTACCATATTGTGATCCTGGTCAGGCCCTCAATGGAATATTTCAAAGTCTCAAATTCCTCATCTGTGAAATGGGAATGATAATAGCCCCTTCTTCACAGGGTTGTCACGAAGACCAAGTGAGATAATGTTCCTAAAAAACCTTACAGCAATAGGTCAATGTCAGTAACGTCCAGCACCCGGTCAAAGAGAAGGAGTCCGGAGTAAGGGGACCTGAGTTCCAATCCTGGCTTCATCACTATGACCTTGAACACATCATTTCCCTTATATAGGCCTCAGTTTCCTCATCTATAAAATGAGGGGGTTGGATTACTTGTCCTCCAAGTCCCCTTCCAGGCCTGTCTCTGATCCTAGTATTACTATATTTGGTTTGGGGTTCCACATTATAGGAAGGACATTGACAAATGGGAACCTATCCAGAATAGGGTGACCAGGGTCATGAGCCATGTTGGAGGCTCACCTCTAACACCAGCACCCTCTTAGTTCAAGTTTGATTTTGAGAAGAAAGTCGCTGAATATGCAACAAGGAGATCAGCTTCTCCAGAGGAGGCCTCCCTCAGCTGGTCAGCAGGAGGTGGCAGTTCCCAGGGTACAAGACACCCAGAGAGGCCCAGACTTCACGGAGGTGGGACTTTTTATACCTCTAGGTGACCAGGAAGATGCATCAGGGAAGCTGGGGTCAATCAGGTCCCCGAGGCAACCTTGTCCTGGGCCTGCCCATGATGGCTGGTGGTGTTGGGGGAGGAGGCTGCACTGGGGAGTCTGAGATCAAGAAGATCCAGGGGCAGCCTTGTCATCTTTTAGGCAAAGCCACCCCATGTTGTGGATGGGGGAAAGAAACTATGCCAGGGGAAATGCTTTTGCTATCACAGAGGAGACTGGTAAGAACTGAATGGAGGAGCTGGGGAAATTTATTTTGGAGAAGACAAGACTTGGGGAGAGGGGATATAATTGTTCTCTTCAAGTATTTGAAGTTTTGTTGTGTAGAAGAGAACACTGAGTCAATGAGCCTTTCTCTCTCTCTCTATTTTATTTATCTATTCATCCATCCATCCATCCATTCATTTATTTTCCTATTCATTCATTTATTTAGTCATCTATTCATTCATTCATCTATTTGTCTATCCAACTATTTATTTGTTTGCTTGTTTGCTTATTCATTCATTCATTTATATATTTATTATGGGCAGCTAGGTGGTACAGTGGAGAGAGTATAGGACTTGAAGTCAGGAAGACCTGAATTCAAATCCTGCCTCAGGTGCTTACTAGCTGTGTGACCCTGGGCAAGTTATGTACATCTTTCTGTGTCTCTGTTTCCTGTTCTGTAAAATGGTGATAATAATAGCATCTACTTCCCGGATCAAATGAAATAAACATTCTAAAGTGCTCAGCACAGTGCCTGGCACGCAGTAAGCACTATATAAATGTTAGCTATTATTATTATTATTATTATTATTATCATTACTATGTGCCAGGCACAGTACTAAGCACTAGGGATTCAAAGAAAGGAAAAAAAAATGTGATCCCTGCCCTCAAGGAGCTCACAGTCTAATAGGAGAGACAATGCACCAACAATACATGGGCACAAGGTCTGAGGGGCCTGGGAAAGGCTTCTTGCGGTAGGTGACATTTGAGCTGAGAGATTAGGTTTATTATTATTGTTAGTATTAGCTAGCAATCACATAGTGCTTTAAGATTTTCAGAGGGGCTTTATATGTGTTATCTCATTTGGTCCTTGCAACAACCCTGGCAGGTTGGGCATTATTATCCCTGGATATTATTTTCCCATTTTCCAGATGAGGAAAGAACTACTCAGATCTAGAAGGAAGAATGAGGAGTAATGAGCACAAGCTTCAGATGCAAATTTGATGCAAGGAAAATTTTCTTAATAATCAGATGATCAAAGGTGGAGGTTGTCTCCAGACTAATGTCTCTTCTTTTTGTTGTTGTTCATTTGTTTCAGTGATGTCTGACTCTTCATGACCCCATTTGAGGTTTTCTTGGCAAAGATACTGAAGTGGTTGGCCATTTTCTTCTCCAGCTCATTTTACAGATGAGGAAACTGAGGCAAACAGGGTTTAGTGACTTGCTCAGGGTCACACAACTAGTAAGTATCTGAGGCCAGATTTGAACTCAGGAAGTTGAATCTTCCTGACTCCAGGCCCAGCACTGTATCCACGCTATCCCAAAACATCTCTTCTACTTATCTTCGTATGGCGTGGAATTGATACCCTTCTTCATTTTGGTATCTCTCTTCTGGATTTTCTCCAGAAGAAAATGTTCTCGTGAAACTGTGCTCAAAACTGAATAGATTCTGGGTATGATTTGACCAGGTCAAAGGACCTGGTACTATCACTCCCCTGGTCCTGGACACATATGCTTCCCTTAATCCAGCCTGAGATTGCAAGTTTTCTCAGCTGCTATGTCATAATGTTAATTCAAATTGATTTTTCAACTCTTTGATCTTTTGTTTTTTGTTTTCTTTTTAGGCAATTGGGGTTAAGTGACTTGCCCAGGGTCACATAGCTAGTAAGTGTCAAGTGTTTGGTCTGAGGCCAGATTTGGACTCAGGTTCTCCTGACTCCAGGGTTGGTGCTCTATCCACTGCACCATCTAGCTGCTCCTAAACACTTTGCTCTTTGCAGCTACTGCAAAGCATTCAGGAGGCTGCCTCCAGAATGATCCCTAATTTGGAACCCAGGAAATCCAACTGTGACTTGATCAGGGCCTACTAGCCACATTGGCTGGTTAAAGCACAGGGATTCCAGCCTATAGCTTTGTCCTCCCACATTTCCCAAGAATGCAGTGCTGGGAAATTTCCTGCCCAGGTTTTCAATCTCAAACCATTTCCCTTTTGTTCTCCTTAGACTGGCAGGGAGGAAAGCTGGAAAGGAAAGAGAAATTTCAACCCTGGACTTGAAGCAGAGGTGCTCTGGAGTCAACTGCATTTGGCTCTTGAGGGCCAGTTGTGAAATGTTCTTCTCTCCATGATAGCCTTCTGGATACTTGAAGAAAGCTATCATGTCTTAGGCGGGCACTAATACTACAGAGTAGGGCTTGATTTATTGTTTTGTTGATTGTCTAGACTTAAAGTGATGTCAAAGATACTAATAATGCAGATTCAGCATAGGAGAAAATATTAATAATGCAGATTAAGCATAACCATGTAACTATTAAGCATAACAGCCCCCTGGCCCCCAGTTATTAAACATTTAACAGTGCATCATTGCCAGGAAGCATTACTGTTTTTAATAGCTATTTTTATTTTCTATGTCATCTGACTACATGAAGTCATACATGGCCAGCAATAGTAAGTTGTTGCTTCACCCAATCACTTGAATTTATTTTGTATGTATGTCTTTCTCTTGGGGGGCAGTGGGGGAGGCAATCAGGGTTAAAAGTGACTTGCCCAGGGTCACACGACTAGTAAGTATCTGAGCTGGATTTGAACTCAGGTCCTCCTGACTCCAGGGCTGGTGCTCTATGCATTGAGTCACCTACCTGTCCCCTTTTGAATATATCTTGTATTTACTTATCTGTGAATATGTTGCATCACTCCTAGTAGGATAAAAACTCCTTGAAGTCAGAGACTGTTGATCTTTCATACTCACATCTCCAAAACCCTGGCACAGAGCCTAGATTATAGTAGGGTTAATAGATAAATCCTCCCCAGCTGAATAGGGCATTGTGAAGAATTATTAGTTAATCCCTTAAAGAGTTGTGTCTATGTATATTTCAGGAGCATTTCCCCCTCTTATGGGTAATATATGAGGGAGAAGTTGTTTTGTTCATTTTAAAGGGATTTAAAAACCCACCTACTCCCCACCCAGCAAAGGTGAATTGTTCAATCCTGTGACTTTAGGAGGCCCAAGAATTTGAACTAATTGAAGAGGAGAGTTTTGCACTTTGGGATAGTTTTTGTAAATATCCCAAAACATACCCTCTAGACTGCCAGACAGAGACAGAGAAAGGCAGAGAGAAAGATGGAAAAATGAGAGAGAGAATGAGAGAGAGAGAGAGAGAGAGAGAGAGAGAGAGAGAGAGAGAGAGAGAGAGAGAGAGAGAGAGAGAGA